AGTTATGAAAGCTTGAACAATGACCAAATAATAAGGTGGTCTTCTTGCCTTGGTATGGAACACTATAGATGGTTGAAAGGACCTATCAAACATCTTCAAAGAGAGCAAAGATCAGAGTATATAGCAAATAAAATTGCCGCATCTTGGGCTTTCTCAATATATGAAGACTGCTCCTCATGGAACTCGTCCCTAGAAGGAGGATAATATCACTGACATGTATATTTACCTTAGTAGTTACTTATATAATTAAGTAGAAGTATGTAAATATAAAATAATTTCATAAAGTCTTCTTTAGGAGCTTCCTAGAAGCTTCATAGATACGGTTTTGACTTTAGATGTGTTTGTAGGTTAGAAACTTGGCCAAAAAGCTAACCATATATTGGTAGCTTGTGAAATAAGTTATCTCTATATAGTAGCTTGTGAAATAAGCCAACTACATGGTGCATACATAGATAACTTGCCTTGTAAGATAAGACATGTGGCTAGCAAAGTCAACACATGTTGGAGGTCCTATAGGACATTGCCACATAGCTCTTAGTTAGATAGTATATATGGAGGCAAGATTGAAGCCTTCTTCACTCTTGTCAATGCCTTTCTAGTCTTAGTCTTGTTTCAAGATTTTCTGGTCTTTTTGTTTTTGGAAATAGCCATTTTAGTTAGTATTACATCACCTTTTAAGTGACTTTCTAGTTCTCTTCAATAATAAAAGAGTGTATTGAGGATTTCCTTTCTTTGAGATTCATGTCCTTGATACTCAGTGGCTTCAAGATTTCTATATTTCTATAGTGATTTTTGATATTACATACTACCTTGAGTTTGATATCCATTACATATTTGAATCCATTTGGTCTTTTATATTTTGCAACTCAAGGAATTTCATACTAAACCAAGACACTTCTTTGATCAATATCAATCACCAACATTTTTTATTAATGACCAATAGAATTATGAAATTGATGGTATTTTGAAACACTGCTATCTTCACCATGGCAATAGACATCTACAACTTTTGCATTAAGTCCTTTGAAAAGGTTTTTTCATCAACAATGCAATGTGGGAACTTGTGCCAAACATCATCGATTGTTAAGAAATAATTTAGAGATACCATTGAGAGCAAAATGATGACATCTTGCATTAGTAGAGAGAGATTAACTGTAACATGATATTTGTATTATTGACACATAAAGATAGGTAATTGGAGCTACTTTTGAAAAGTTTTTAATAGTTTCTAGAATTGAAGTTAAATTGGTGGTTCATATAGGATCCACCATAAAATATTTTAGAAGAACTTAGGACGATTTTTTAGCTAGAATCCACATCTAAAAACTTCTAAAAAAGGCAATTATCTGAATGATGCCTATGATTAGGAATATTCTAAAAATTTCTAAGATGGTTGGACAAAGTATAAATAAAATTGGCCAAAGCCATTTGGATATTTGATCAAGTATGGCTTTGATTTTTTTTTCTCAATAAAGTTTGGTTTGTATTTTTTTTATTCTCTTCTATTTTCCTTTGCTTTGTTTTTTCTTTCATTGTTCTATTATATTTTGTTTTGGTTTGCTTTGTCCTACATTGTGATGAAATTTTTGTTGCTGTAGATTAGAAGGATTCTAGATCTGAAAAAGAATTTAGTCTTGTTTCATTAGTCTTATTTCAAGACTTTGTAGTCTTTTTGTCTTTGGAAATAGCCATTCTAGTTCAATATATTATCATCTTTGAGTGATTTTTTAATCTTTTTAAATAATACAAGAATATATTGAAGATTTTTTCTTCAAGATTCATGTTCTTGATATTATGTTATTTAAAAAAAATAGATGTTCATTCAAAAGTAATATAATATTAAAACTAAAGTGATTATTACTAAAAATAAAAAATCTAAATATTCTTAAAATAAAAAAAAAAAAAAAAAAAAAAAAAAAAAAACCTTTACCAAGACTAAAAAAAGACTTAATTATTGCTTCTATATATATATATATATATATATATATATATATATATATATATATATATTATAACTAAGAGTTATGTGGCAAAATTCTATAGAATCTCCAATATATGTTTAACTTGAAAAACAATTTTTCTAGATATAAGCCACATGGCTAATTTGTAATACAAGTTGCCAATATGTGCGATATGTAGCTAATTTATTGACCAAATTTTCAACATGTGAATCAACTACAATCATATACAAAGTCAAATCCATACCTATAAAGCTTCTAAAAAGTTTTTTTATAAAATATTATTAAGTCTACTTATATTTATTTCCTATCTAATATTACTTATCTATATAATTATGCATATCCATGACAATCAACAATAGTTGTTACAATACATATCATTTATTGTATTAATTTTATTTAAATAAAATAAAATAATTTCATATTAGTCAAATATTATCTTAGTTATATTAATATATTATTTAACCATAAGTACTTGAATAGAAATAAATTAACAAATCATATTTTAATTATAAATCAAATCTTAAAAATATATATATCTTAAGATTATTTTTAAATTTTAACATAGTCATTTAATTATAATACAATTATGATAGTAAAATTTTCTTAATTGGATTAAAATAAGAGATGCCCATGACTTTCATTCTTGGATTAAGAAGAAATAATCTTTAAATTTATTTTTAAGTAGTATAAAAAAAATTATTTGGATATAAGATCTTTGTTTTCTTTTTTTAGCAAAAACTTCTTCATCTTATGAATATTGTTTTTTACTCTTTCCATCTTATTAAGTCAATTTTTTTATAAAAAATATTATTTTAAAAAAGTATAATCAATCAATTAGGAAGTAACATATGTAAAGACTTGGCTTTAAATTTTATATATATATATATTGTAACTATATTATTTGATATTATTAATAATTTAAAATATAAATCATAATAAAAACATATATAAAAACTTTAATGTACCTTAAAAATAGTTATATATGTAAATTTTATTTAAATTTGTAATTATTTAGAAGCAAGTAAATTATAAGTAATTAGACTTGATAATTTAAAAGAAAAAATTATAATTATTATAAAAATAAATAAATAAATTTATGTATAGAACTATTCTAACTTTAAAAAATCTAATATAATTATGTAGTATCTTAGAGTAGAAGAAATTTATTGAATTTCTTTAAACCTAATTTAAATAAATAGAATTAAATAAATTGATAGCAATTAATATTTTAACTAAGATGATAGAGTTTACAATAAGAATAAAAACATAAATGAGATGTTTTATAGACATGTTTTGTCTTTGTTCTAAAACATACAAGCAATAACATATATATATATATATATATATATATATAGATATAAAAAAAAAACTATTAATCTTTAAAAATCAAAAAAAAAATAATTATAAATATATTCAATTCATTCTTTACTCAACTATAGATAGATCTCTGTTGAATACCTTAATAAATACTAATAATATCTAAATAATTGATTTAATATTTTTACTACTTTTTTGGTCTTTATCCGTAATCAATAGCAGAATTAGACAAATAGTATATTTTTATATCAAAGAAAAAGAGAAAAAGAAAATCTAATTGCATCCTTTAATCATCAAGAAAATAATTAGAAATAAAATACAATTAAATTGCACTACATAATTCATCTACAAGAACACAATTGTTATCCATCAATTAAGCTGAAGATAATAGTAGTAATTGAGTTCAGCTCAACAAGAGGGATACTTGAGTACAAGAACTTAGATTTTAACAATCTTGTGTTTGAGTCAGTTTTCCATCATTTATTTATTTATATATATATATATATAGAATACAAAATTGACTATATTAGGATGAATTGGCATTTGTTCAGAGCTTTTTAGATTAAGAAGAATTGACAAAAACTACTTGGGTAAACTAAATTGACACATGATGATGTGCATTGATAATTTATCAAATGTTTTATGAATAAACTTATTTCTGTAATGTTGTTTTCATCAACAATTTTACAAAAATACTAATCTACATTCTCTTTAATAATTCAATTCACACAAGACATTTTCTTTTTTCACCAAAAATCTTGCAAATTTTTTATCAGCCCAAAAATAAATTGTACAAAAGATCATAAGCTTGATTCAACTGCAAAAACATTAACCAAGGAGTATAAGATAAATTATATTTAAAATGTATTGAAAAGAGTATTATATATATATATATATATACATATGAATCTCAGACAAGGAAATGTACCATTTTATCAAATATTTGTGTGTTTTATTTTAAAGCAAGGTGCTCATGTCCAAGACTAAACATAGCAGAGGAAAGCATTTCACCCACAAGATGACATGCAGATGTGGGCACAAGGGCCAATCTGGAGTGTAAATGCCTTGTCTAACATGGCAACAGAAAAGGAGGGCCACCATGTTGGAAATGTTCTCTCTTTCTGTTCCAGTGGGAATCCTAGGACATGACATTATTCAATAATGCCCACCCACACAAACACCATTCCCAAGGCAGCATCAAACTAAGCATGTATATATATATATATATATCATCATCATCATCATCATCATCATCCTAGCCACCTTGGAATGCAAAACACTACACCAGGCGAGCTTCTTCTACTTCTTCTTCTTTTGGAACAGCCATGGGTAACTAACTGTGAGGAAATGAGAATACAGCCCCCCTATGAATTGTGCACCCCTGTAGTAGTCCAAAAGCCCTCCTGCCCTCCTGCCCTCCTGGAGAGTGGAAGAAAAGGATGATGAAGAAGAGGTGTGACAGGACTCCATCTCAGTGGTACCTATACCCGTACCCCCCCCGCCACGGCTATGGGGGGAAGCCCCATCCGAGGACGGACAAGAAGATTTTTTAAACGGGGTTTATCGGGACCGGGCGTTGCGACCGAGGCCGCCGTGGCAGTTTGAATAGGGCCGGCCGGGCTGGTGCGGGGGGCTCAGGAGCAAGAGCTGGGCTGAGAGGGCGGAACGAGGAACAGTGAGAGAGGTTGGCAGGGAGGGATCCTCGGAGGAGGAGTTTGGGTGCCATGAGAAGGCAGCCAGCTACAGGGAGAGAGAGATGTCAGAGAGTGGTGTCAGAGAGTTAGCCCAAATCAATCGAAGAGTGCCCTCCTCGCCCCCATCCTCCCTCCCCCTTGCCATCGCAAAAGCACCCAATCCCAAGCCCAAGCCGCCTTTGCCCCTCCCCTCCCTCGTCGTTGCTACTGCTACTGCTCCATTCCCCCTTTTCACGCTTTCATCGCCCCTAGCTCCTCTTGCGAATGCCTCACTTGTTCGTGAGCTGTTGGGACGACGTGAGACGTCTCCTGCGCCCTACCGTTGGTGGACCCACCGCGATGATTGCCATTCTCGCTTGAGTTTGAGTCCATGTGGGGTTTTTAGTTTCGAAGATCTAGCTCGCGAGGGAGGGAGGGAGAAGGGCGCGCGATCGAATTGGCTCGGATCGGGTTGGATAGTGGTGGGGTTGCGAAGGTGGGAAAGCAATGGCTTGCTCATCTGGCGTGGGCTTGATTTCTAATCTCTGTAGTGTACAGTCGTCGGTGTCTTCTACGAAGTCATCTAGCCCCGCACCGCGATCGAATTCGATCTCCTACTGGAAATCGTCGCCCTCGCCTACGTCCTCGCTCGAATCATCTTTTCGCCCCTCTTTTCCCGCTGGTTCTTCTTCCCTAACGATCCGGAAAGGTGCCACCTCGCCAAGGTCGAATCGCATTGTTGCCCAAGGTTTGAGTTCCTGTTCATTAATTTTTCCTCTGATCTTACTTTCTTCCATATTGGTCTAATATTTGCTCCTAGTGATTGTTTGTCAGGGTCGTTTGCAAGTATTCGTAACGAATGTCACGATTGGGTCAAGCTCTCCAACGCTCTCTCTTAACATGTTGATTACGTTCCAGTGACTATGAAGTGCAGCCTTTTTTAGTTTGAAATCCAGGAATTGGTTTCAGGAGCTCTGTATAGACATGCCCCTTGGCTAGCACACCTAGAGACATGGATCAAAGTGTCAATACCAGGCGATCGCTTCTGAATAATCTTAGTAACCCTCGTAGGGTTGGTCTCTTAGTCGGCTGTGTCAATGAGGTCGCCTTGTTAAGGTTTGATGATGGTCGAACTTCAAATTATTACCTGAAGTGTGGCACCCAGGCATTTCTATCCTGATGAATTTTGGTTCCGGCTAAAATTTGGTTGTGCGCTTGCAGCCATCAACGAATTGGTGGCATGCTTCGGGGAGCTCCTGATTGATTTTGTGCCCACGGTTGGCGGTCTATCGCTTGCTGATGCTCCAGCATTTAAGAAAGCGCCCGGAGGCGCACCTGCGAATGTTGCTTGTGGTATAGCCAAGCTTGGTGGAAAGGCAGCATTTATTGGAAAAGTATGTCATCTGCTTTCTGGTGGGTTTGAAATGTCATCATAATTGTCTCAAAGCTTATGAAGATACCTCGAGTTTTTTCAACCTTTTTACATGGATGAAATTTAAACGCGAAACGTAATTCCATCTTTAAGGCTTTTCCAGAAGCCGCTAAATGTGATTGTACTTCGAAGGAGCAACGTGCCTCTGCTGTAGGCTTCTCTTTGGATGATTGTCACTCTATTGAATCAACCATGCCTGGCACCATGCTCGAATGGAATTGGCTGTATTAATATGTCACGCGCCTCCACAACTGCCTATTTGCTTTAAGTGAGGGTACAATCATTACGTTGCATTTTCTCAAAGTTTAGAAAGGTTTTTGATCATGGTAGGATTGGCATTCCGTAGGTTGGCGACGACGAATTTGGGCACATGCTGTGCGACGTTCTGAAGGACAATCATGTGATAACTAATGGTGTTCGGTTCGACTCTCATGCAAGAACGGCCCTTGCGTTCGTCACATTGCGGCATGATGGGGAGAGGGAGTTCATGTTTTACCGCAATCCTAGTGCCGACATGCTCTTCCAGCCAGATGAGCTGGATATTGAGTTGTTGCAGCAGGTACTGCTGTACATGTCCGCACAAGACAGTTTCATGTTTTAGAAGTTTTCTCCTACTTTTTAGATCGCAGTATGCATGTACTTGCTGATTTTGTTTCATTCCTGCGTTTCAAAGTAGCTGACTACAGTAATTATCTCTGACGCCCATCGTCAGGCGTCTATCTTCCACTATGGATCCATCAGTTTGATCACGGAGCCATCTCGCTCGACACACTTGGAGGCAATGCGCATTGCCAAAGAGGCAGGCGCACTCCTGTCCTACGATCCGAATCTTCGGCTGCCCTTGTGGCCGTCGGCTGACGCCGCGAAGGAAGGCATTATGTCGATTTGGGATCAGGCCGATATCATAAAGGTTTTTTTTTCATTGCTCTCGTACACATCTTTGTTTGGTGTGATAGCATGAAAATTTGTAGCCCTATTCCAAGGCTCTCATGTACAGGGAGTATTGCTCTCATTGAGCAAGGTGATCAAGGAAAATGTCGATGGTTTCTAAGCGAAGCTCAACACAGAGATAAATTCTGCGACATGGTTTGTTGTGCAGGTCAGTGACGAGGAGGTTATATTTCTTACTGGTGCCGACCCCAAGGATGATGCACACAACCTGAAAATGATGCCCGCTGGCTGCAGGTTGATGCTAGTGACGGAGGGTGCAGAAGGCTGTCGTTATTACACCCCGGTATTTGCATTTATCCCTTTGACCCATTAAATCGTGTTTCCTGTGTCCACATGTCTAATGTTGTACTTCGACTGTGAGTTTAGAAATTTTTGATAACAAGGAATCGCCTATCCTTATGCTACCTTGCTTCGTGTGTTTGAAATACAGAAATTTCATGGCCAAGTGGGAGGTCTCAAGGTTCAAGTGGTTGATACCACTGGAGCCGGTGATGCATTTTGTGCTGGTCTTCTGAGCCAGCTTGCGAAGTCTCCATCCATTGTTGAGGTAAGAAGAAAATATGTATTTTCGTACTAGTTATGCTGGTTATCTTTGTTCTGCATCTGAATTCTTTTGGTTTTCTGTTGTACTATATGTTGATCAGGATGATAACTTTAAGGGTTTAACTGTGAACATCTATGTACTACTGTAACTTGCACAGGATGAAGAGAAGCTGCGTGAGGCTCTCACATTTGCAAATGCTTGCGGAGCTATCACGACGACTGAAAGAGGAGCCATTCCATCGCTTCCTGATAATGAGACTGTCTCAAGGCTTTTAAGTACAGCTCATAGGCTCCCTGCGTAACTACTCTCTCTTTCTGCTCATTGGTTCTCTTAAATGGTTTAAGCTAAGGGAGTAATAATCATGTATTGTTACTGCAGTATGATAACTTCGAAGCAAACTCGGTCTGAGTTGGTAACCTAGTTATTATTCTTTATCTTGAGCTTGGTACTCATCAAGTTCTGCACATGATGATATTTGCAGAAAGTATTCACATGTAGGCAGTTCATTAGAATAAAAGAGTTCCAAGTGCACTTGGATCATTCATCTGTGTTGTTGAGGCAATGGTTTAACCAAATGTACTCTAGTGTTTTTTTTCATAGAGTAGTTTTGTGAGATGGGGAAGTGCAGCAAGAGATTCTTGCTGAGTCTGCTCTGTATGTGTGAGCATGTGCGCCTGCGCGCGCGCGACGCGCTCACTTACACACACGCACACGCACATACAGAGTTTTACTTAAAACTGTGTTTGTTTGTTGTATGCCTACTGTAAATGTGTTTTCCCTTTTGCCCTAGTTAACTGTTCAACTGGCAATGTCATTCTTGTTTCACATTACAAAGCCTTTTTAAAGTACTTTTTCCCCTTATTTTCCTCTTTCTTCCAAATTCTATTTTGCTTAAATGTTTTTTTAATATTAGAATTTCCATGAAAATTCTTCGTATTTATAAAGATATTTGCTATTTTTCGTGATCAAAGTCTAATTGTCTTTGTTGATTTCTGGAGGATTTCTGTAACTCACTCTTTAACTCCGATGTGCGCATGATTTCAACGAATCTTGATCGCACTGTTATAAGTGTATTCATATGTAATATACACAGGACGCCGCAGGGGACTCCAACGCTTATTTATAAGGTAATTGAGCCACAGTAGTTAAACCATCGTGCAGCGGGCAAATGTTTTACAGTGTTTGGCTGTGTTCTCTTCAGAAAAACCAGCCCGTGTTTTGTTGGCAAATACGGATCCTTCGTGGCAAGATTATCAAAGATGGAGATACCGGAACTCGACTACAAGCTTGTGAAGGACTCTGATATTGCTTCTTTCAACAGCAGAGGTCTGAGGAATCTAGCTGTGGAAGAAGGCTTAGTAAGAAGTGGAAAATATTAATTTCTTGCTTGGTGATATTGCCACAATTGAATTTTGTCATATGCAATCAAACCAGCTCGAACTGTGTGTGCCAAGGAACAATATTTGACAAATCATTTTGGTAATTTTTCAACCAGTATGCAAGCCTTGTGAGGTTTTCCAATGCTATTTTTTAGGGATGAAGTAGAGAAGCTAAGGTCATGGCTTCAATTTTCGTATGTTTTCTCTGCGTGTGCAGGCATACACTTTTGCGCAGCAGTTCGTTTAAGACCACATTTCTCCATGTCAAATGTAATCTGAACAATTCCTGGATCTCGTGGTATCCAGCTTCCTGTATCCGGTTTTAGTGCCGACTTAAAATCAGGTGTTTGATCTGTCATTTTACACGTGGCGTGATTCAGTTCTCTGTTCTTGTATTAAGAGTATTTCTTTGACTCTGGATGCTAAATATGGTCATTGAAATATCTAACAAATGGTATCCGAGTCCAGCTATTGAACTCACTTTCTGTTTCACCTCTTTTACCCCGAATGCTTTTTTCCTGTGAGATGTTTACTTCATACTTAAAAGTGCGTATATACCTACATTTTCTGATTATGCCTTTGTTATTATAATTATTGCAAGGGTCGTGTCTCCACAGCTCTTCTTAAATTTTGCAATATTATTCAGAAAGTTTTAGAAAGTTTATGCGGAAGTAAGGACCCGACGTCTCAGATTGAGCAATTTTCACACATAGAGTTCACATCAACGTGTGAGATAGAAGTTGAGTTCAAACAGGAGTCACTTGGGGCGGTAATTCTACTGTTAACAGTTCGCCAGAGTACTGTTGCCAGTTTTTTATTTGTCAATCGGAGTAAAATATATTTGATGTTTTATCTAGTCAAATTCTTGGAATAACTGCCGTTCAATTTAATTCCACTACGATGCTTTCGCATTCAGTAGGTAATCACTGCGATTTTATTTTTTGTATATATTTTATTGTTGTTGTTGCAATCTCTTTACTTCAGTGTTATGCACTATCATAAACTTGTAAATGTGTTATGTATGATATTTATCCGACTGAGTTTTGACAACGAATGTGTAAATTTTTTTCTTCCTGGGTTTTGATTTCTGTTATCTGACGACATGTAAAATAATGCATTGCGAGTTTCAAGTAGTACTAAAGATCTTGAGGTAAAAGAGTTTCATTTGGAAGTTACATGATGCGAAAGACCAACGTGCCAAATTGTTTCCGATCTTTAGATTGCGACAATCCTTTGCAGCCTTCAGCAGAACCCAACACTTGATTGTACCCAAAAGCATCAGAACATTTATATGAAGAGTAGCTATTACCCACAAGCAGTTCTCTAGAATTTTCACCGTTCAATTACAGATCGAAAGAACTCTCCATTTGCAGCTTAATCGCATTCCGTTTATGTTTTTATAGTTGAATTTTTCCATATTTATTACTTTGCAGCGTAGTGACCAAGCCTGGGTTTATCTGAGTTAACTCATTTATATTCAAGGAACATAGGTGGAAAATGGTGATTCTGAAGCAATTCAAACTGCTAGACCCATTCACAAAGTGAGATTTCAAGGTGTGAGGAGTGGGGACTGAAGTTCCCCTTTACATGTTTCAAATTGATACAATATTACACCCCATTTGGACATGAGCCGTTCTGGTTGCTTGCTTTCACCATATCTGTATCACAACTACTGATGCTACGTGTAGATGAAGTGAACTTTGAGAGGAAGAAAGATTAAGGCTGTTTACGACCAAGCCCCTCATTTCGCCACCTCAACTGCCACTCACACCTCTTGTGACTGAAGTGCAACAGATGCAAAAAGGTAACATTTTAACATAAGAGTACTTTCCGTAATCAGCCACATCTCTTCTATTTTACCCACGGCTAGGCAACCAGAAAGCCTGCACAACATACAAGATAAAAAAAAAAGAAAATATTATAAAACTGAAGTGACAGGTAAAAGCTTTCGGCAGTTGTCACAACAGAAGCATCTACGTAGATAAGTATTGTGGTCGGCATGAAGGCTTAGCACCAAGATTATTAAACTAAAAAACCTAAAAACTAGGCAACAAAACGTAAGTGAGAATCGATCTAGTTCGCCTATAACGAGTACTATTCACACAATACACCACAAGGTGGAGGCCATACCCGGGTATTCAAAACAAACCGGGTGTAATGCAAGTGCTGCTCATGTTGTCATTTGGATCATCAAGACGCATCCATCAAGTAAGCACGTGATCCAAGCAAACCCCAGTGTAGACTTCCACTGCTTCACATCCTCTTCCAACTGTAGCGCAGACGAGACAGAGAAGCAAAACTAACAAAAATTGGGGTCTACAAGGTCGGTCACCTTTAAGATAAGGAGCAGAGCGAAACTTCACACGGCTCAATTCCTCCAACGTGAGTAAGCTCCGCACCAGAAGAGAATGCTTAGCCTTTCAAGGAGAACCCTTTGCCGTGCTCTTCCATCAATGACAACCATGCTACAAGGATCACTGACTTCGGGTTCACTAAAGTCGACACGAATTCTGTATGCCAAAACCCACTTGTAGGATATTCTAAGCCGGCCTCTGAATGCTGAAAGATACCAAGCTGCACAATATGAGAAACAGACATAACCGAAAAGATAAATGCATGCACATAATACGGTTGGTATGCACAGTACATAAAGCTATCCTGAAACAACAAATCACAGGTAATAAACCTACCAACACGTACAAAAGCACAAAGATTGATTACTGACTTTTTAATTCGTAAGTTAACCTTCCAAAATCTCATTGCAGAACTCGTATATTGGCTTCTTCACCTGTGTTAGGAATTTTCACCAACTTTCTCCACTAAAGTATCTACAGCCTGCACCTCACCAATTCCAAGAACTTTGAGAAGGGCACGTCGAATTTCCCCAGTGCGAAGAGCGGCCTTCTCATCCATGGCAACCCTCCCAGTCTTAGAATCCTCAAAAGCACGTAGAACTGGTGCCATCAATGCACCATTAATCTTTTCTGGCCTGTTGAAACAGCATAGGACCTGTCAATCTTTCAAAATCATCGAACTAAATTTTCATCTATAGAACCAGCAACTTCAGGAGGCACATATATCTCAAAGAACGGAAGGATAGTAACATACCTTGGCGATCCAGAGTTTCCATCATTGTTCCCAACTTCACTCTTTCTTAAGCGGCCATCCCTCAACAGATTGTCAGCATACAATTGCTGTAGACAAGAAAGGAGTTGCACGTAATGCGAAGACACCCATCCTGTCATCACAATTGCAACGAAGTTGCCAAATTTTGGAGGGAGTGACAGGATTACACTTAAAAGAGCTACTGTGGGTGCCTGTACTCGTAAAATCCAAATCAAACATGATAGAGCATCTGGATTCAACAGTGGATCCACAACCGCCAGACTTAACTCGACAACCTGCCAGAATAATTACCCACATATCAAATGAGTACTCTGTTTGGAATAAAACACCTTATCATCAGACATAAGGAGAACATGTTACGTGTTAGCTTGAGAGCTAATCATCCTATTTCTCCATGCAAAAGAAATTTAAAAGGTCATTCAAAAGAATCAAGCATAAACTTCAAGACGTGTCTAACAGCTGCAAACTACTCGAGTTATAAACCTACAATTAAAATGTCAGTTTACTTGAGCATACTCACAAATGGATGAAGGAAAAAGGCAAGCAGCTAACCTGAAGGGCGGGAGCAGGAGAAAGAGAAAGAATTTCAGCACCCATTAGTCGCCAAAAATATTGCTGTTCAATAGAATCCCAACTTAAGGAGGCCTTTACAAGGCGTACAAGGGAATCCAGTTCTCTTCCGATTACAGCAAACTCTCCAACTGTTACCCAATATTCAAAATTGGAAAGATCTACTGGATCAACGGTTGAGACTAAGAGCAGCAACATGGCCTCTTTCCCAGTGGCCAGATGTGGAAGATAGCGGAAAACTGAGGGCAAAACCCGTGACAGTCTTTGCATGTTCCACATAAAACAAGTTTCTAAATCTTTGATAAGCAGAGAATCAGGAGTCTTGCTATCAAGTTTTGGTATCTTCCCGTCACTCATGACTCCACTCGATTCCAATGGTAAGGAGGCCTGCCCTTCAATCAGTGCAGTACTTGAATTCTTGGATTTGTGATTTACGGTGATATTCGAATCTCCAATCTCCAAAGGCGAATTGCCTCCGCTTAACAGTATTAAAAATTCTTCATACGCTTTGAAAGCATTGACGACAAACAATTGTGAGTCCAGGTCCTTAGGATAAGATTTGCAAGAATTTCCCCTTAATATGTTGTTTGTTTGATGATTTCCTGTGAAGGCCGATCCATCCCCACCATTTTTACTACACTCCTGCGAGGAATTTCCAGAATTACCAGTTACTTCTCCATCTCCATCAACCACCGTATTCATACTATTTGCCGCACTGCAGTTCTTCAACACACTTTCCTTCTTCACTTTGCCAGACAAGTCAATTTCTGCATCTCCTGTAACTACTGTCGAGGCGGGGCTCCTAGACAAAAACGGTTCTACCCCTTCTGCAAGCCTGGCACACCCACACCCCAACACATCAACCAGTCAACTAGGATTCCAACAGCCACAGGGCCTTCCTCATACGGATGGAACGTTAACTGGGGCATCCAACTCATCACGAACTTAAGAGAGATTTTCCAAAATCCTGCAAGGAACTACAATACACACAATTACGACATACCTGGAAACGTAACACAGCAGCCTTGGACCGACTGCAAGCTCTTCGCGATGCCAAGCCACAAGCAACTGACGCATTTGGGGATGGTTGTTGCTCACATACATATGCAAGAGTGTGGAAGTCAACGATGTCGATTCCTCAACATTAGAATTTTCTGATGGTAGTGCTTTAAGTGGGCCAAATATTTCGTAACCCCCTTTTTTAAAAATTTCTACGACTTGACTGGCAAATTTTTGAACTGCTAAAGAGGATGAAGAGAAAAGGTCAGGAGTATGATTTGCCGCAGTTGGGTCCAGATTCATCTCTGACGAATTTGGAGACTCAACTTTGGCAAGTTTTCCACTGTGTGTTTGACCAGAAGCAGAAGTAAAGGAAGCTAGTATCTTCTCCAATGCAACGGCAGCACCTTCTTCAGACTGAGTCAAAGCTTCGGTGAGATCGTCAATAAGAAGTTGTACTTCCGAAACTACAGCATCTGTTGTACCTGTCAGCAACAAAGTACGAACATGTAAATCCAAGAAGAGCAGTACATATCACTCTGGAATAACGTTTCTTCACACTTAGACAACAAATAACGAACAGCTAGGCTTCCCAGTGAGACGTCATAACTGTAAGAAAAGATCCCCACCTCCACGTCTTCTCTTTCTGTTTGTACTCTCTCCAACATCACCCGGCTTCAGCTCGTCTGTACTGACACCAGAAGCTTCTGAGCCTTGAGCAGCAATAGGTGATATATTAGCATCTCCACCAGTAGGAACATAACTCCCCATGCCAACCCCTTTACCGATTTGAACCCCATCTATTGGCAGCGAATCGGGTCTAAACTGCCTCGGTCCCTCCCCAGGATCTGGCTTGCAATAGGAGGGGAAGTAAGCGTTCAATTTCTCGCGAAGAGGAGACGACAATAAATGGCAAGCTGAGAGAGGCTCCAACGACCGCACCACACCCTTGCCAACAAGAATGTCAATGGATGCTGTAAATCCCTTCAGGATAATGTCACGGCGAATCGGATCATAGTTCTCAACCGACAGAAATAAGAATTCCAGAAGGGAGTTGGTCATGTCTGCATATTTTGGAATAGAATGCACCATGAGCAGAATACCAGGTTCAATATTCATAATATTGTCCGTCTTGGTGAAGAAGAACCAATCGTAAAACAATGCTAGCTTCGCATTTGCTTCAATATGGTTGCTTTTACAGCACTTAAGTAGCCATCCCACAATAGCCCAGCGAGGACAAATATCTGACTGCAGAATCTGGTTGGTTGGGTGAATTACACAACAAATGAATCGAATTAAGTCACACACCAAGGTCTCGCTCTCAGAGGTAAATAAATAACGCTGAGCAAACCACGTTTGATATCTCCGTTGGCTACCCATCCGGACGCTCGTAAGCATGAACTTGATTTGAGTCTCCATATCTGGAGTGACCCTAGATGCCAAATACCGTGTCGGGGTCCTGACAACATACAACTGCCCAATGTCGGTAAATCCGGGTGCCTTAAATGAAGATGGATTAGACAGTAAGTCCCTCCAAATAAGTTCGAATTCCGGAAGAAGCGCTACATCTTGAAGCAAACGAATCAAGTCGCGACCAATCATTAAGCAATCTTGAAACCTTTCCCGAAGAACTTTGGTACAGAACATGATCTCTTTCTGCTTGATCTCATTTAAAACTGGAGTTTTCCCCATAGTGTGATCTGGCAAAAGTCGCAGATACGTATACAAGGCCATAGTAAAAAGATGGGGCTTCTCGTACAGCCATTGCTCATGACTCAGCATAACGTCCAAAAGCTGAGTAGCCAGCCAAACATTCCCAGTACTTAAATCTCCACCCGCAACCTGACACAATGACAAAAGTGAGAACAGTTACTTCAAGCCACCAAGTGTAGACACTGCAGACCATTAGAAGAGACAATAATTTTAAAACAATAAAAATAAAGAAGTGAAAAAAGTTGACAATGCTGAGATAATTGAAGTGGAGAAAGAGGGAAAAAATGCAAGAATACACCAGACCTCAAACCAGTTAAAAGCTTCAGTTACCTCCATCAAATTCGCTCTAATGATCAAAAGGCAAAAAGAGTGCACAAGAAAAGACCAATCGTACCTGTCGCAGAAGTGTGGCACACAAAATATCAATATCAGCAGCATTGTAGGTTATCAGCTGCCTTAATAGCCATAGAACTTGACTTCGAGGGTGGTCAAGCAGCTTTGGATAACATTCGTTGACAAGCCGCAAGAGGACAGCAACAAAAGGTGTGTATCCATCTCCTGTGATGGTAGTCAAGGCTGTTAAATGATGGAGGTAAGGAGATGCAGCAGTCGTTGGACTTGTCAAAATGGCGTATAAAAGCGCCTGAGGAAGCTGGGGAGTATTCGCCGTGGAGTGTGAAAGGTTGTATGGTGGAGATAATAGGGATTGAAGGCTAGAATGAGCCTGTTGTAACTCTTTCTCAATCTCGGTTGGACTTTCAAAAGAAAGCCTCTGCGTAAGCTTCGAGACAGACATGGCTGCAGCAGGAGCCTGACTGGTCATCCCCATTGTTGACATTAACAATATCAAAAGTAACCAACTATTCTGATGTCTCTACACACAATGCCCCCCGGAGTAGTAGAAGAAGAAGAGGAAACAGAACTACTTAAAAAACCAAAAAAACAGAAGACGGAACTTAGGAATACACAATTGGTAAGAACGCTCAATAGATAAAAAAAATCTTGGATACGAATAAAGAGCAGTCAGGATGCTAAGCTAGCACACTAAAAGAGCCTATGTACAAGGCTATTCGAAACTGTACAGATCAAGTATAGCCGATAGAAAAACTAATACTAACGGTTCGGAGGAGGAAGATATGGAAGAAACAAAAAGTATTAAAACAACTACATTCTTTCCCAAAAATCCTCTTCACTCACAAAACTGAATGGATTGATTCTATTAGAGCTCATCAGAACCCGATACCTAAAATGTGGTGAAATGTAACCAGTTTGCAGGATCCCGAGAAAAAAATCCATGCAGCTCAAATTCCACTGCACTTGAAGTTACCCTGGAAGGAACAGAATATTTGAACACCGAGATGAACCACTTCGTGTATCGGTCTAAGATTCCAAGAGTGGTGATCTGCATACAAAGCACATGTTCAGCTCTTCAATACAGGGTCCTCAACTGTAATCTTCTTAACAGGTCAATTGAACAACTCAAAACCTTCATGGAAACCCACGCACGATCCATCATCTTCTTAAGGTCAAGAATGTGACCTTCATTTCACTGAAGAATGTAGTGACAAAATCCCCCAACCAATAGCCAGGGTCCACGTTGATTTACTGGAAATCCTCAACGTAGACGCCACAAAGACACTATCTGCTGCAAAACGCTAAGTGCAAGTATATTTCAATTTCAGACAACCCCTTTCGACCGATTAACCCTAGGCAAGGTTTTAAACCAGATATATCCCTAAAAGCGGGCTGTTTTAAGTTCAATCGCTGGATTTCAACATTACTTTGAAAACGCACTGGCATCAGGTCATAACATGGTCAAAAAACAAATAATAAATCATGACTAAAAAACAGCCTCTTTCGTCGCTGAAAACTTGAATGCTTTTGCTTGAAAGGCGTGCACATCCGACAATCGAGACGCAACCAAGTAATTACCACGTGGGAAGCAATTAACACAATCAACTTCACACTCCACATCAAATCCAGTTTGCCAGATATTGCATGCCATTACGGTAGTAGCTGCTCAATTCCCCTCTATGATCCACATATCAAGAAATGAGATATCTAAGCCAACCAATCTCTCCAATAATTCATACATTAGGTTTTAAATGTATCCAGCATAAAAAAGGCATCCGTGGACCATTGAATCATTTGGAAGATTCAAAACTACCACCTCTTCCCGCCGCGATGGTCATGACACGCCAAGTCACGATGAATCACAGTGCTCGTTTCAAAACTATCCCAAAAATCCAAAGAAGAGTTCAAATTAGGGTTGGGTAAAGAGAAAGAGTACCAATGGCAAGAAGAGGAACGACGGGCGAGGGCGCAATACGTCAAGTCCAACGCTCCAGACCGCCATAATATGACGACCTCCAACGAGCACTTTGTTATACCAGCACCACTGATAACACCACCACCACCACCCTCTCTCCAATGAATTGATCGAATTCGCAATTCCGCTCAACTCAATCCACCGAAACCCTGTATAATCCTCTCAGCCGCAAGAGCTACACGCCCCTGGGGCCCCTCCCACGCGAAAGCTCCAATCCGCCCAATCCCTAGAGCAACGCAAGAGTAAACCTCAACCCCTTTCCCTACTCGTAAAACTCTACCAAAACTCCCAGAAAATCCAAATTAAAACGATCGTAGGGTAGCTGAAATGCCCGCAAAAATAAAATGCAAGGGGAGCTGAAAGATGCGGTGTGGTAGAATCGAGCACCCCAGATCGTGGCTCCGCCGCTGGGAGCGAGCTCATCCCCCCGCTCGGTGACGAGAGTCGGGAGTGGGTAAGTCTACGGCATGGGAGCTTTTTTTTATAGAGCCCGGGCAGCCCAATGCCACCCGCATTCACCCAGGGCAGGCCTCGCGGGCAGCGCCCCCATCTTGCCCTCCCCCACCCCCACCCCCACCCCATGGATGAATGAGTCCACCTGCCTGTCTTTTCATCCATCGGCACCCTAATACTACGAATGTTCCTGGAAGGCTTCGCAGTTTTACAAGTTTTCACGTTTTCCCTCCCTCGCAATGCGGCTCCATTACCCCCGTAACTTTGATTTTACTCGTTGGTTTGCGCGTTTACACGATGTCGTTGATGGATTGAAGACTTGCTAGTTTATGTTTAGAACACTAATTAATAATTTACTATTACATTTTTACAAAAATACTCGTGAATTAGTCTTCCATGTGTTTATTACATACAATAGTGTTAGCAACTAAATGATCTAACTTTATATTTACATATGTGATTAGCAAAAGTGGTGATTTAAATTTATATAGACTGATATTGTAATTTTTGTGGTTAAAATTTTGATTAAATTAATTAATTTGTAGAAATTTGATTAAAAACTTGAAAAAAAAAATGTTAATCATTGCTTTATTTTTTAATTTTAAAATGTCGAATGGAACATTATTAAAAAAAAATAAGTACATGCAAATGATTGATTTTTTATGGTAGGAACTTATTATAATATATTTTTTTAAATATTATAAAACTTCAAATTTCAAATTACGATTCAAAAAAAGTACAATACAAATTTGAATGTAGTAATATTATAGAAGATAGATTGAAATAAATAAGATAAAAAGATGCTCGTTCATATCTCTTGTATATTAAAAAGAAGCAATAAATTTAATTTAAAAAAATTATTAATTAAAATTTTAAAACCAATAAAAATATATTTAGTATCAAGAAATATGAGAAAATTACATATAAAATAAATTGCATATTGCTAACATCACAAAGTTGATATATCTTACAAATCTTAGTGATAAATCTAATTAATGTCTTTAAAATTTTAAATTTTTAGTAAAACATTTTCTTAATTCAAGTATAAAATAAATAAAAGCATAAACTGGAATATAGAAATATTTACTTTGAAAAGCCATATTATTACAAGTTGATGTTGTTGTATTGTATAGAGCTTGAAATATGAAGAAAACTTGCAAAAATTACTGAGATTTTTCTATGTGCCAAAAAAAAATTTAGGCCAACAATCTTACAAAAGAATAATAATAGTAATAATTTAAAAATACATCATTTAATTGTGACAAGGATTTTTAGGTGCAATGAAATAAATAAATAAATAAATAAAATACAACAACAACACATAAAAAACAATGATAGAGATTGGAATCTAACATAAGTTTGTACTATGTAATGCCATGTAATGTAATAGTTTGGTGCCATTGCAATAGCATTTACATTTTATTATATTTCAAAATTATTTGCTTGTGTACATTGTTTCTTATATTGAATTGTATTATAAATGAGGGACAATTGTAGTGTATCAATTGCAACAAAAATAATTTGTTTTATTTAGCAAGGTAGAAGAAAAGGTTTGAAGAAGATTAGAGTATTACATGTATAAACTATGTTGAATGTATGATTGTATTCATCAACTTTAAATCCATAATCTTAAAAATAAATTGTAATCATTAGGTTGTAGTATTAATTACGTTTCTATTATACTTTAATCGATTGAAATATACAAGCTAAGAGTAATAAAGAGAAATTTATAGACATATTAGAAATAAAACATTATTTTCTAAAAATAAAATATTACTTATTATAATTATAATTTTAATTCTTAAGATTAATATTATTTTTTATTTTTTTATTTTTAAAAAACCTCCAAGAATCTTGTATTTGAATATTTATTAACATATAAAATATATTTTTAAAATTTTAAAATAATATTTTATATTAATTTATTATATTACACATATATTGAGATTTATTTTTATTATAGAATAAAATGATAAATTAGAAATTAATTTAATATATTTTAATCAAGATTTTTTAAAATTATTATTTAAACTTTTTTATCCATATCTAAAAATGATAAAAGAATTTAAGATAATTTTATAAATGATACAAGTTGATTTATGATCTTTATTAGTATAATTATCAAATAAGTCCAAATATATAAATTTCTTAAAATATCAAAGATATCAACAAAAAGAAACAAAAAACATATTATAACTTTTTATCTTATAAAATAAAAGAATAAAGAAAGAGAGAGTGAATGCATGATTGTACTACATGAAAATTTCTTTATGCACAAAAATGTTAAAAAAAATTTAAGTGTATATATGATTTGATGGTAAAGTAGTTACTTAAATAGGATGTTTAGAAAGGCAAGAATAATTTTCATCTTTGGAAGTAAAATATGATCAATTTGCAATACATATGTAACAAAGCGTTTAGGCATTTAATGTGCAAAGGATTGTTTATCAATGTTTTAATAATTATTTTCATATAAGAAAATAAAATTTATGTGATTGATAATATTTTTTAATTTTAATTTAAAAATAAATTAAAAATAAATAATTTTTTAAATTTTTAGAAATAATATTCAAGGAATAAATTGATAACAGATAAAATAATAATTTTATCAAAAGAGTGGTTATTTTTAATAATAACTGTAATTATAAAATATTTTTTATATTTATCTTAGCATATTATATTTTTAATAGAAATTTAGTTGGAATAAAACTATATCTTTTAAAAGAAAAAAGTAATTATTTAAATATATATATATATAAATATATATATATATAAATATATATATATATATTAAATGTAATACAAAAGTAAAATATATGGATAAAGAATACAAATAAAAAGTAAAGAAATATAAATGCAAATTTAATGATACGTGCTAACTATATATTTGTATAGTGAATATGCAACTATACTTCAATTTTTTTTTTTAAAAAAAAATGTAAAAATTGATTATTTTTAACGTGATTAATTTGAATTTAATCAAAAATTAAGAAAAATATATTTGTATTAAAGTTTAATTAATCACCTTTAATAAAAATAAAATTTACCAAATAAATAATAAATTTATTAATTAAATTTTTTCTTAGAAGTGATAGAAGTATACACAAGTGCTACTTAAGTCTATTTGTGTAGTTTATTTTGATATTTATGTAAGTATTTTTATTGCTTTTACTTGCAACTCACTATAACAAAAAGAATTTGAACAAATAGCAAGAAGACAAAGATTCTCTAGACTAGCTAATATAGTTAAGATTTATTTTTAATATTAATAAAAATCTTAAAAATACATATAATAGAATATAAATATTATATAAATATATATATTTTTTATTTCATATACTATAAAATATATGATATTAGTATTATTTATTTTTATTTTTAATTTTTTGCTTAGATATTGAATTCTTTATATTATTATAAAAAATTAAAGAATTTATTTGACTTTATACTATGGTCTAAAGAATAATATAGATTTTAAAATAAAACCTTAATTTCTATTTTATAGTTTAAAATTCTATGATCAACGACCTGTGCAAATAGTACAAGTTAGATGCATTTTGTATGATGAAAAATCAATGTGAAAAATAATATCTAGAATATTTTTAAGTAGAATATTATAAAGATACCAAAAATAATCCTTGCAACCATAGAAGATGTATTAATAAGAATATAAAAGTGTATAAAATTATATAAAAGTGTATAAAATTATATGAAAGTATATAAAATTATTAGATACTTTAGTATAATCTTATATCTTCATAATTTCTTAAAGTTTTTAGTAAAACTTAATTTTTTAAAAAATATTCATAGTAGAGTAACTTTAAAATATCTATAAAATATATAAAAAAGAAATATTTTTGTCTAAAATCCTCCACAAGAAAGTATTATTATAGAATGATTTATTACAATTTATAAACACTTATATGCTCATTATGTTTTATTATCAAAAACATATTTCTATATTTGATATTTGAATCAATCAAATATTAATTTATACTTTTAATATTTAATATTTAGTGCATTGAAATTCTGAAAAAAAAAAAAGATTAAAAGAAAAAACTATTAAAAAGTATACAGAATATATTTTTAAATGAAATAAAATGTTTTTATTTTTATAAGTAATTATTATTAAATAAATTCTTAAATAACATACTTATTAAAAAAATAAAAAAATAAACTGAAAGTACAACAAATAATTTTCATAATTGTTTTCGAAAATTAACATACAAATATATATATATATATATATATATATATTATTATTTATATATATTATTATTATTTATATTTGTAGGTCTAAATTTTATAAGTTTCTTATATAAAATTTAACTTATATAATAATAGGCTTCGATCTTTAGTTTAAGATATAAGTTATTTTTGTAGATATTTCAAAGATAATATTTTACTATCTTTAGATAAAACACAATATTTGTGAGTCCCACCAATAGATCTTAATTGGTGGATTGGTTAAAAATATAGTATTGAATCATTTAATGAGATAAATACTAAGATTAGAGAGTCTTTTGACTATTTATATATTTATTAGAATTTAGAAGTATTTATAAGTATAAAAGTCTTATTAAAAGAAAAGTTACAAAAATGGAGTCTTAGTTATTCTTGGAGGCAATTATTTTAGTTGGTGTAGTATTTTCACTCATTATTGAGTATTAATGATTAGTAATTGAGACTAATGTCTATATTGGCCTCATATCTATATGTATTACTTACAAAAATCCTGTCAATGTTTATTTAATAGTTAATAGAAGTATAAAAAAGAACTTCATGTCTTTAAAGTTTTATATATAGAAAATAAAATTTTTAGTGGATTTAAATTGATTTTATTACTATAAAAAATCATCAAGATAGAAAAATATAGCCTTATATAGATATTAGTTTTATAGAAATATTATAGGATTTTTTATAATTTATTTATAATTTATTTATAATTTATTTAGGATTTTTTATGAATTTTTAGAGAAAATTTCAAGACCTTGGTAAAATTG